TATTTAATTGACTGAAATTTTATAAAAGTTTAAAATCATCAACCTAACAAAGTCTCCAACAGAAGTCTATGGTCTGTATCTCACCTGAATGTGACACATGGCAGTATTTTCTTAAAAAAAGAAGAAAGAGCTGAAAAAGTAGATGAGATTAAATGACTTGATAGGCTCCATTTTCTTGCTCTCTGTGATTCATTGTGGTTTTAAAATATCAAGTCTGAGAGCAATTACCCCATTTTTTTTATTCTTCTCACCAGCTTTCATTCACAACCCACTTTCACTACTCTACTTAGGCATTATTAAACAGAGCTTTCACAGAAGCTTCATCAAACAACTGAGTTTTATAAGGTGTTAGTCTGTGTTTATGTGCGTTTGAAACTTACATCTACCTTGCTGCATTGCCTTATACTATATTAGCACACAGACACACTTTGAAAAAAGTCATTTTAATGGCATCTCGGCAGGTGTCACTTCATAGCCTCTCTGAGCTGCCAATCATCATCAGCTCAGCTTCCAAATCCTGACCAACACTAAAAAACACATACACTAAAAAACACACACTCACACACACAGACGGTTGTTGATCTCCAACCAATAAGTCTCATATTTATTTAAACAAGTTTCAAGAAATCAGTCCTWATAAACTGGCATGGCGCTGCTACCTGGTACATGCTCCACGATAACCATGCACTTATTGAGTATGACGTCTAAATTTCCATTGAGGAAAAATTGAAAYCATAGAGCTGGAAGAAAACTAAGACAAGAGGAATTTGAATGGCAAAGTTGCTGTTGTGAATCAAGCTTGATAAATTGCAGTTAGTTGTAGAAGTTGCCTGATGTGTAGAATTTATTAATGTGCRGTGCTGTGCAAAAGTATTAAGTCACTCATTTTTTTTACTTTAGCCCCAGGGTGCCAGGGTTTCTTGCAATCTTTTAAAGTTGTTTTTTTAGTTTTCAAATGTTTCCCCCCCTGTATCTGACCATTTTTAAAATACTTTTTTGTTGTGTTTTCTCTACTTTTGTTTCTTTCTTTGTTAAACTACTTAATGTTGACACAGAATCATTCAGTCTTTAAAAGGCTCAACAAATGAACAAGAGGTATGTCTACAAACAAAGTTAAGGAAACAAAAAAGCTATGAATCATCAGGCTCTGTATTACCAGAGGCCTGTCACAAAGACACATTGAATCACATTTCTTTAGTTGGATCCATGAGAAATACCAAAGGTAAAATAGTTTGACAAAAAAAAATAAAATTAAATAAAATAATTTTAGTACCAACAAGGAAATCCCCAAAGAGCTATTAGCTAAAAACTTGGCATAGTGAAGATGTTCAGAGTCTCAAGCCATTTCTCAAGTCTTTTGTCAGGACTGCTTGCTATTTAAAGAGATTATTTTCAAATACTATTCATCTGCTGCAGAGTTTTTAGACCTGAATCTTCCTTGTTTGTCCTCTACTTGTCCACCATCTTTATAGAAAATAAAATTCTTGTCAGGTTAAAGCGATATGTTCGATAGCTTTGAGCAGTTTAAGTAGTTTCAGCAATTTTCTTAGACATTTTATTTTATTTGTTTGATGTAGACTAATGATTTGACCTTTCCAACACAGAAGAACATCTTTTTCATCTTCCAGACACACATAATGTGTCCTTTTGACATGGGTATTTATGGAGAAAAAAAAAGCTCTTATCGCTCCAAGTAACGTGAAATAAACTCACTGTAACCAAATCATATTGATCATTGCTGAATGTTTGCGAAAAGGAAGTTTAGAAGCTTGTGTATCTCTTTTTAAGGAACTGATCAAAGGAAATAAACATTTGTGATTCAATGTTTCTCTCTTACCTTTACATGATGGCAGTGCCTTGTCCCACACTGGTTTCCCATCTTGTCCCATGACACACGTGATGGTGTCTCTACCCACAATTGTGTAGCCATGATGACAGCTATAGGACACCTGTGATCCTAGTTTGTAGTCATAGCCTGTTCGACTAGCGTTCATAATGTTACCAGGGTCAAAACAGGCCTCTCTGGGTTTTTCTGTGGAGAAGGAAGAAAGGTTATGCTGCTTGAMAAATGCCAAGACAAATATCAGCAACCTGAAATGGGTAGTCATATTAGAGACAGATTTATTCATTCACTTTATTTATTTATTTTGAGGGATGGTTGGTAAAAAGTCACTCTTTTATTTAAAAAACAAAAGGGAAAATGACTTATCGGAATACCACAGATGTAATGGGTGAGGGGGACTATTTTAGAAAAAAAAACTTCCTCTTGGTCCAATAGTAGCTTTCAAGATTTCGGATATGTTYTGGACATAGCCTAAAAGACAGACCTCCTCACTTATTACTTGCTGGGGTTTACAAATATATCATTTACTACTTTTCTTTCTAAAATAAAAGGGCGTCCTGTGTTGTTTGACTCACCCATGTACAGCTGTACACATTTGTAAAAACATCTTTTTAATTTCATATTAGCTATTCTTAAATGTTGTCCTTGTGTAAGAAAAAGAAACAAGCAAAAGGGAAATATGAAAACAGTGAAAGAATAATTGTTTAAAAACAGGTAAGTGATAAAAAACTATGTGAACATACTGTCTTGCAATATTTATGACTTGGCATTAAGACAACTTGTTACCCTTTTGTACTCACACCACAACAATATGAATGAGGATACACAGAGAGGTAAAGGAAAAGAAAGAGATGGTACAGGCAAATTATCAAGAGTGTATTTTAATTATAGAGATGGCAGAACACAGCAATCAAATAATGGAAAAAAAAGTTACGCAACGAACAAACAACAATAGATGAATAAGGTGGGAGAAACAAGAAGGGAAGAAAAAGAAGTCATAAAAAATTAAAGCAGATCTAGCCACCGTTAAGCTTAACAACCAAGTTCAAGATTGAGTAGGGGTATTAAATCATTAGTCACAATCTGTGGAGGTAAACAGCTCATGAACAAACCTGGAACAGCAGGTCTTTTCAACAAAAAAAAAAAAAAAATCCTTGTGATAAAGTACAAATAACAAGACTAGGGATTAAAATAGCATCCAATCTGCACATCATGCACTCATATATTGACATTTTAATCCTTAAACCTAATAAGCTGACAATTACTGAAAATAAAAAGTGTTTTGTATTTATGTGCACAGAAACATGCAGTAAGACACAAAAGCACATCTTATTCTGCAGGCAAGTCATGCAACATTGATTTGCCCCAATCGATTAACCCATCCAATAATCTCAGTCAATATCTAAAGTTAATCTGACTAACTGGAGTTTACAGCATGATTAAAATGATGGATCAGTGATTTATTGAACTGTACTGTTGGTGGTGGTTACCGCTGTTACCATATCACTAACAATATCGTCCTTATAGACTATAACTACAAACTTTTTTTTCTACAACTATTATTAGCACTAGAATTACTGCTATTATTCAACTTTTACTGTGTTTGCTGATTYATTCATGCAGGGCTATGTCACTAATTGTAAAATTTGTTGTATAGATGCTGTAATATGCTCCTCCTATTACTTTCTCTATTACCAGTAGTTGTTTTCTGGCCACTTCATGCGTCATTTGTTGTAAATTATAAAAGAGCACATTAGGGAAAAGTTTATATTTGGTAATTACCTCTATATTCAATAGCAAATCCAGACATGCCCAGCGACGCATCAGACCTGAACGCCAGGAAGAGACTGTTGCCACTGCTTTCTATCCGCTCTGGTGCCTGGTTGCCTTGGAGACTTGCTAGTAGAGGCCCATTTGAGTCTTCCCCCTCGTAGATGTGCAAGAAGTCATAACTTGGCTCCATGTTGAAACTGAGGTAGAAAAAAAAAACAACAACAACATAAGATGCTTGTTTACCCTTTCTGCAATTTTGCAAATCAAATGACTAGACCTTTCAGTCATTTACACAAACATCTATTTTCAATAAGTTTGACAATAAATGTAAGAACTGCAAATCCACGAGCAAATTATATGAAGTTTGTGTGTTTGAATTTGGACATCTGAATATTTGCTAATGTTTATGAGGTTTAAACAAATTAAGACTTTGAGAAATGCTGTAATGTGTTGAAAGGATGGAACTAAGTTGATTGGCACTAAAACTATAATAAAGTGTTTTAATTCTAATTATGGCAATTTAATCTCTATTTATATTTTTGCATTAATTTCACAAATTCATTTTTTTACATTTTTGCACTAAAAATATGTTCAACATTTTAAAAAGGAAATAAATTTAACAATGCTTTATTTCTGGTAAAGCTAATTAGTGAAATGTTAGTATTTATTTATTTTTTTACAGAACATTTGTTGGCACTCCATTAAGGGCTCTATTTTTTTGATACATTAAAACAAGCAAACATGAACAACTCTCATTTTACATTGTACACTAAGCCAGTACTACATTGGACCTTTTTCCTCACTCAAGGTTTATTTAGCATTTTTATCACCAAAA